TGTCTATGTGTGTGTGCGTGTGTGTGTGTGTGTATATATATATATTATTCTGAATGAATAATCACATCACATACCATCTCTCTCAGCCCCGTGTCTGAGCACGTATGACAGCTTCCTCGACCACATAGTCTGCTCATTCGACCCGCCTCGCCTTTGTCTCCCGCCAGATTTACTACTGTTTAGTTTAGTATTACCAGGATTGCTAATACCAGATTTGCTACTATTGAGTTTACTATAGCCTGGACTGCCAATACCAGGTTTGCTTTTCACCGAACTACTATTCCCTGGTCCTCTATCTTTATCATCACTAGATGTATTGGTAGGTGTTTTGGTGGGTGTATTGATATGAGGCCCACTAACACCAGAGTTGATAGTATGAGATTCACTGGCACTCGGAATCGTTCTCCCAGAATCACTGCCAGTTTTACTCGCTTGTTGTGGATTTCCCGTGTTACTAATACTACAAGACATACTAATATTCGGAGTTCTTTCCCCAAGCGTTATACTACTATCACCAGCTTTACCACCTTGTTGTTGTTGTGGTCTTCCCGGGCGATCTCTGGACTTGTTCTTGAAATCGGATAGAATGGATGTTTTTGCTTTCGGCGTACTTTTGTCTACCCCTTTTGTGGGCGTGCTTGGTGCTGCCATAGAATCCTCCTCTGCTTTCTGTATGTTGTTCATGGTTCTTTTTATATATGATGATTACTGTATTATACGGCGCCTTTTGTTGGGTTCTAGTTTTAATGATTCTTGTGATATACGAAGGCTCTTATATTATATACAATTGTACTTTGTATACAGATGTTGCTGTTATATACAATTGCTTTTGTTGTGTTTGACGGATCCTGTTATATATAGTGTCTTTACAACTACTATGATTTACCTCCTCAACAACAAACTGAGTGTATTCTTATTTTGATAAATACAATGCAACTAGTCCACAACAGTAGACGAATAAATGCAGCTGAAGATGGGTTACCAGGAATTAGCCGATATGTAACTATTGTGTATTCATGATTACAACTGCTGGGAAAATTATAGATGTATTTGCATAGCGCTCTCAATATACACAGATACATAGAAGCGTGGCGCTTGTGTAGAATCTGGTAAACGTACGCACTTTCATAAAACTCGCGTGGATCACACATATTTCAACACCTATGTAAAATCGTATTGATTGTCACTTTGAGTTTGCAGATATCCAATCACAATGCCGATGCACAAACATTAACCAATGAAATCACAAAACTGGTGTCCCGGCGACTGACTCGGCGACCGGCGTTTGATACCATATTTGAGAATTGTGAAGACCACTGAGTCTGTAACTGACCTGCTGACCAGTGTCCACTGTCCAGGGCAGATCGTATACGTCCTACGGGCTATATCATTATAAATATTTACATGTCATGCTGTTTGGATTGAGCTCATTTATTTGTACACTTGAAGATATATATCGCAAGACTTTTGAAGTATAACTATTGTATAACAACTATAGCAGAATGGACGGTAGACCCAAGCAGGATCTCACAAAAGCGGAGGCGAAAAGTAAGCACACATATGGTTTGTAGAGTTGAGGTTTATTCACTAAGATCTATATCGAGTTTATTAACATGTGTATGAAGCAGTGAGTAGGAGAAGCTCTAGTTTCATAAAGCACCACACTTCTGATGCACCCTTGACTTAAATGATAACTCCAGTTTCAACTATGTTTTATTACATCACACGCAGTCGAGAATCGCGGCCGCCGTGCCACCTTGATACAGTTGTACTTTTACTGTCATTGACATACACTTCAATGTGTGTAACGTTCATGCATGTATTCTCACCAACTAGCTAGATTTAAAATCTATTCATAAAATCAAAGGACGGCACGCATATTTGTTACACTATCAAATATGATATATATATATATATTTATATTTATATA